CATATATATATATATATATATATAGTCTGACTTTAAATGTGCCTCATGCAGAATTTCATTTTTATGCAGATGATACTGTTTTATATTGCTATCTTAAATGTCTTTACTCACTGGATACTGTTCATCATGGAGCTCCAAGATTTATAACAGATTTAAGAGGTTTTGCACATCATTGCACACTATACAACCGGGTTGGATGAACAGCCTTGGACACTCGTAGACTCCGTCATTGGTATATTTTTATTTATAAGGCCATACTAGGACTTCTTCCATCATATTTGTTGGCCTATATGAATAGAAAGTCTACTGGAGGATACTCTCTTCATTGTGAGAATTTATTTTTGCTTTCAGTGCCTAAAGTTCGAACTGAACTTGGAAARAAATCTTTTCAATTTTCTGCTCCATCTTCTTGGAATCAGTTGCAGAGATATTTGAACCTAAAGGGGCTGTTGTCACTAAACGTTTTTAAGGCTGTTCTTATGGATTTTGGGAAATAATCATCTGTTTGTAAATGTTTTAACTGAAGAATCTTTTATTTAATCTGTCTATGATCATGGTGTTTCTATTTTTGCTGTGAATGTTTTGTAACCTCTGTGTACTGCTGCCAGTCTTGGCCAGGATTCCCTTGCAAAAGAGATTCTTAATGTCAATGGGATTTTCCTGGTGAAATAAAAGTTAATAAACAAAATAATCTAAAGAAACATCAGATTCTTCTCTACAGTCTGTGTTGTAACAATGCTCTGTTCACAGACATTCCCCTTTGACATCACTTCCTGTTTCTTCACATGCAAATATCTCAACAACTGTTCATCTCAGTGGCATGAAATTTGTTTTGCAATATGTTATCTTTTCAAAAATGCATTCATGTTTATTACAAAACTATGATGTCACAGGCCCTTTAAATAATATACTCTGATGAATCCATTAAAACTTACTGCATTGGGGGCATTTAAAGACAATGAAGAAAACAGCTTTAAACTGAATTCTTGCTTAAGGCCTTCCTCTGCAAAACACTACGCAAACAGGGGGAAGCAGCTAATTTGATCACATCATATTGCATAAAATGGGGATTTTACCTTTGACAGATGATGGGAAACTCTTAACTCCTATAACATAACCAAAAGTATATTTTTGTGGATTGTGTTAAACCAGATAATGACGTGACAGCAAGTCTCAGCCATGTGATGCAGTTCTCCTATCTCATTCAGCCTATTGTTAGATTATTTGCAGGCTGGCTATTTCACCTGTGCTGTAATTTGGCTGTTTAAAGCTGAACTATTTTGGTACTCTGAATTTATTACTTTAGTAAATGTTTTGTGTCAGACACTTAAAACTCAAGTTTCTCAAAGTTAATCACAATGAAGTTCCCAGGGACAATTTATTTTCATTATTTTCTGACATTTTCAGATGTTTGTACAGTCAGATATCTAACAACATTAATTAGGATGGTAGCATATGACATCAAACAGCTGGGACCTGAAAGTTAAAGAAAAATAGAAAACAAAGGAGCAAGTATTCATAAATCAAGATTGTACAGAATATTTTTTACTAAGCTTTTGATGTTTTGGCTTTTGACWTTGTGGAGCCTAGCTTTCCCTTCAGCTCCGCTTTCTTTGCCTGCACAGCATTAAAAACCTGAAAAAATAAAAATAAACAATAAAAAAAGGATTACAAGAATAAGGATGAGGTAGTTGTAAAGATAAAAGATAAAAAATGTTGTTAAATTGAATGCCTGTGAAACACAGTAAAAATTATATTATGTAAACAAAAAATTTTAAAGTATTTTTATTTTTTTTACCCTTTTGCAGAGTTCTTTCTTGACCAGCCAGCGTTTGGTCGGCCGCCTGTTGTACGCTGGGGGTAAGGTGTAGGTGATGCCCAGCTGTTCACACACTCGCTCAAAGGCGTCATAATTAACCAATCTGAAGTTTTTCAGAAGCTTTTTCCTTTTATCAATGGCCATGAGCATCCACCTCTTGTTAGCTTTGTCCTGGTGGTACACAGAACAGGAAAAAATAATTTCAATGAGCTAAACAGATACTGTTCTAAATGTACAATCTCTATATGCTGACTGTTTACATTTAAAATAGGAATATTTTAAATGTGACGTAATACGGAAACTTCTGACCACGGTTGAGCATGTGCAAGCCTTTATTTCATGTGGGCTAGAACACAGGATATCCTGTAGCACATACATGCCTTACATCAAAAGGAAATCAGCGAAGACAGGAAACTGATACACGAAATCTATCACGATAAAAGGCTAAATCCATCAAAGCATGCTGCGTTTTATTTCTGAAATGTGTCAGAAATGTTTAGAGCGCAGGGGAACCCTAATTCTTACAAAAGCTGAGACATTGTGAAAACTGTAAATAAAAACAGAACACGATTCGCAAATCTCATTAAACCCACATTTTATATGTAACAGAACATAGTGAACTAAGAAACTGTACCAATGGGGGAGGGTTTTCTTGAAGCAGGCCATGTTTACCACTGAGGTGAAGTCCCTCTTCTCTTGGAACAACCTCTTTTGAATGGTAACGTTGTCCCATTGAAGTCTGATGTTATTTGTTTAACAGTCCAGAGTCTTTGACAAACTTTTTGTTTTGGCACCAAAAGTTTGCTGTTGGTGAGAGGTCTGAACTGCAGGCAGGACAGTTCAGCACCTGGGGCCTCATGTATCAATGGTGCGTACGCACAAAAACCTTGCGTACGTCATTATCCACGCAAAACTCCGGATGTATCAAAACTCAACTGYACGTGGAAAAGTGCGCAGCCCCACGCCAACTCCAGGGCTGGTGTACGCACGTTTCTGTGGTTTTGGTTCCATTGGCGACACTTAGAGGTGATTCTGAGAAACTGTTCATGATGTGAAAATGATTATTGTTCACACCACGATTAACAATTATTACATCCACATGGACGCAGTTAAATAAAGAACGCGCAAAGTTGTGCCAAAAATACATTGGAACGGATTCAGCCTTACTGGAGGGTATAATAAATAGTGTAACACGCAGAACA